TCCCATGTGCTCGCAGTGTGTTCATCGCTCTGTTAGTGTGGCGTTGTGGATTGAATTATAGTTTACCGGTTCTCGGCGTTCCCTCCCTATCCCCCCCTCTCTTTTTAGCATTTTTTCTTTCTTTCTTTTTTCTTTTTCCCACCAATGCCATCTGGCTTGAGTGTGACGGGTACCTGTAGGGGGCTTAGCGCGGGGGGCTCGTGGCTTGGTTGCGGGTTGGGCAGGCCAGTCGGGTGTTCTAGCGCCTTGGGGATGTGACTGCGGTTGCAGCCCCTGGGTTTCGTAGGCACCTTCCCTCCACTAGCGACTTGGGCGTTAATGCCAATTACGAGATTTCAAACACTGTTGTAGGAAGTTTAGTTTAAACGTTGTAAAAGATGCCCTACAAGATTACATTCAGACTTGTCAAGTCCACCGATTGGGTGAAGAAACACTGCATTGTTTTGTAAATTAGTGACAACTGAGAACAGTGCACACAAACAAAGCTTAGGTAATATACGTAAGAAAAATCAATAACACGAATTCCATTGTACATGTGTACGGTTTATAAAACAAGATTCACAGTTAGGCAAGTCTCCCCAATTCATGTACATCCCCTAGGGAATTCCTGAAACATCCTTGGCATTTAGTTATGTTACACTGACAATACACGTGCATTGTAGTAACAACTTACCCTCTATAACAATAGGCTTTGTCTTCCATTGTCCAGAATATCTTGGATAGGCAGTACCCCTTGCAATTGATATATAGTCACTGTTCCATCTGTAAAGGGCATAACGTGAACCATTTTTACATCAAACCCAAATGGATCACTGACCATTGTTAAACCTCATACAAGCAACATGTTGAACACGAAAGCCATACCTAAAATCCAATGCATAGTACTTAAAAAAGCCCACAAACAGCTCTCCTAGGGATTGCCTGTTCTCTGACCTGTAAGAAAACAGCAAATAAAAACTATAACTTTCAACCATAAACTTGAGATTTTATAAGGCATTGCACACAAAATTTGACAATTCTTTTCAATTAAGGCTGTGGAAAGTAAAATAAGTTCTAGTATATATGTGTGTATGTATGTACATTGTACAATTAAATAAATGCAAGTACATGTACTTGTTTAAAGTGGAACAAAAATAGTCATAATTAAATATTAGCCTGCGTACATGTAGCAAGCGTTCCCATATGAATGGAATTTGTTTTAATTATCGCGGCCTATGCTTGCCCCACCAGCCCCATCTTTGTCAATTTTGTGCTCTGACCCCAGTTTTTGCACGACCAGCAGGTGAGAAACCTGTCCCTTGTATGGAAATGCTTGCTTCGTAGGCTATTGTTTAAGAAATAGAAAACATAGAAAACGAGTTCTCCCAAACTTTCACGAGTGTTTCTATAAATCGATAGAAATACGGAGAACATGTTTTCTATTTGTTTTAGAAAACACCGCGACGAAAAGAAGGAAAACAACTTGTTAGCTTTGATTATCAAAATGTAAATTCTCTTTGCTCGCGCCATCATTACGTCAACAGCTCGTGCTAGTTCTGTGTTTCTATCAAGTTATAGAAACACGACTTTTAACCAATCAGCGCGCGTATTTTCTGAGGTCTGTTTTCTAATAGATTTTGTGAATGTTTTATAGGTGTAATGTTTACTTTAAGCCTTATACAAGGTGAGTTTAGATTAGCATACAGTAATTAAGACATTCTTATTCATTCTCAACTCTTTCTGCTAGAGATATGTAACGATGTTTTCTAATTGATAAACCCAAAGAAAGCTAGACTAAATATTTACTAGACTTACTGATTGCAAGCAATATGTTTACACGGATCTTGACTTATAAGATTTGATACATCTCCATGGTACTTAAACACTGCCTGGTAAAAGAGAACAACACTAATATTAACACCATTTCTTTTCAATTTGGCAATAAATTGTAGTAAACAAATAATTGTATCAAAAGAAGTTTGAAGATTATGTTCGTCGTTTTTGACAGAAAACTTGGAATTGCAGGTATCAATCACTAACAGCACCACACTGTTGCTAATTTTTAGCGAGTACAAACTCAATGTAAAATGGGCCAAGGGAGCAGGCCAAAAAGAAAGCTTGAAGAGAATGGACTAATTCCACATACACCTACTTATTATATGGCTAGCTCCGTGAGCGGGCAAGATGAATCAAATCCTGCACTGTGATTGGCTACCCGAGTGGGCAAGATGGAGCTATCTTGCCCGCTCAGGACTACACTGTACCCGCCGTGTCCCGCAAGAAAAATTTCTGCGAAAGCCATATAATAAATTCTTTATTGACCAAGCTTGTCCAGTCAAGATGGCTGGATATTGGCCTCGTTCTTTTTTTTGCGAGTTTATGGACTTCGACTCCGTCTTGGTCCATAAACTCGCAAAAAAAGAACTTAGCCAATATCAAGCCATCTTGACCTCACACTTGGTCAATAACCCATACATATTGCCTACTATGCACATGCTGTTTGGGCTGTCGAGAAATCTTCCTTCCTCACTGGGGAAGGAAGACTGCATGACGAGCCCAGAGAGTGTCCGTATTGGGGGCTAAAATACTACAGGCTGGCTAGTAAGAGAGTAGATTTTTTGTAGAAGCCTCTTGTAGGGTCCCAGTAGTGGTACATTGTCTTTGTTATACCCAGCATCTATTTTATTTTGTTTTATCCAGCGGTCATTAGTAATCAAACATGCAGATGTACAATGCACTTACTGGATATTGCCTCTGTAAGACAGGAACTACAGCAGGCTTACAAATGCCTGCCAATAACAAAAACAGAAAAAAACACACTAATTGAATACACTGTACAATCATGTCCATGGACATGCCCAGGAGGGGCATTGCTCTCCTATAAAAGCTATATACTGCGGTATGATGTTGCTCTCAATAAGATATTGCACAACGAATTTGACATTTTCTTTTTTTTCAAAAAGGGTGCGGAAAGTCAAATACCTTGATCTGAAAACACATTCATGTGCATCTACGGCAAGGCTTTCAAGAGTTGCAGCATAGCCTGCAAAAGGTTTTTGGACAGTACCCCCCCCCCCCCCCTTCTGTCACTAGCCAATGGACGAGTGAAGTTCTTTGGGGAATTTTTTAAGAATTCAAATACAAAAAGCATGCAAAAAATGAAATTAATTGCATTCTAAATGAATTAAGCTTCAGGGGGGGGGGGGCTAGTGAGGATGACGTTTTGGCTAGGACATCAATTGGTTTTATTTGCTGGAGATGTACTTTACACATATAACAGTTAACCTTCTTGTTCTCAAAGGTGGTCAATATTACAAATTATTCTGCAACACTGCTTTCAGGTGACATTTTATAACAATGTCACCTTGTAAATAGTGAATAACCATCAGCGTAAGAGCATAACTGGAGAGTGTTCCACAACTAGCATCATTGATGTCATGTTTCTTGGCCCACTTCTTCACAAGCATCACTAAGGGTTGGACACGATAGTCCACTAAAATAACAAATAAAACAACATCCATGTAAGACATACAGCAACTGTTAGAAACCATGTAAGAATTTGGGTGCTTTGTCAAATAACTGAGACCCCCTGCACTTTATGAAGATAGGCCTACATGTATGAGTGAAGTGCCTTATTTAAAGGTTGAAAGAATGCAACACAAACCAAACTCTGGACCCAACATGTCAACCACTAGACCATCTTATTTAATTCTCAACATTACTTGAAATATGCTTGCTCTTGTTTCCTCTTTACGAGCATTTGCATTTACCCTGTTGGAATTCCAGGGTTGTGACTTTAAGATCAAAACTGAGTCAAACTACATCTGTGCAGATAGCACAAAGTATTCATTCAAAACTCCTGACATTCTAATGATGATTGAATGTTAGGTACTGGACATGTACCTTCTATAATGGTATCATTTCAGTATGGCATAATTATTATTATCATCACAGTCGAACCTCGATTATCCACACTTGTTCGGACTAGACGACATAGTC